TAGAGGGCTTGATGAGGTGATAATCAGAAAACACGTAGCTTTCGTGAAATCGAAATTGCTTTTTGTTTTTATTATAACGTTTAAAAACTTTGAACAACAGATTTTGGCTGTTTTTAGAGCATGAGTAATGGTGATACAATGTGGGTATCATTAAATATAAAATTATTAAAATTTGAATTAAAGGAAGAAAGAGAGTGTTTTTGGTTGAAATAGTAGGGTGTATTGAAATATAAAATTAATAAAATTTGAGTAAAGAGAAGAGATAGTTGATATTTTTGGAGAGAGGGTATCAAANANTTGATANTTTTNATATTTTTGAAGAGAGAAAGANAGAGTGTATCAAATGTTTTTAATAATTTTATATTTAAAGAGAGTATAAAATTAATAAAAGTTGAGTAAAAGGATGAAAGAAAAAGTATAAAGTTGAGTAAAAGGAAAAGAGAGTGTGTTTTTAATATTTGTTTATTCAAGTGATACAGCATCAGTGATACTGATGCTGATGCTCTTAGTCTCCCTTTTGAAGATCATAGTTTAATGTCAGTAATATACTTTACTTTTCTTTAGCTAATATAAAAATAAACAAGTATGCGTTCAAGTACTTCCTACATTCAACAAATTAAGTTGTTTTTTAGAGAAAATAAAACAAATTAAGTTGTTTATTTCTAGGCCATTTCTTCTTTCATCTATGGTTTTTATTTTGTAGTTGGACTTGTATTTTTGGTGTGGTTGGAAATACCTTAATTTCTGCATCAATATCTTATCTAATCAATTATTGGTTGAAGTTTTAGCTAACTTTTAAGTTGTGGACTAGATTTTCTAAAGTTATAGAATTGTAGTTTTAAAGATTAATAAAAAGTTTGACCAAAAAAAAGAAAAAAAGATTAATAAAAAGGAGAAATGCGAGGATATATTGGTAAGATCCACTCTTGTTATATATACTAGACAGGATTTTAGATTTATTTTTGGGTGAATATACATATATAATCTTATAGATTTTGTGAGATATACTTGCATTTATATATGGTAACAATGACATTCATTGGATAGAAGAAAGGTGTGAGGGATCCATAGAATTTCTAAGAAACTTCTAGAGGATTTACCTATATCACACACTTTTAGTTTTATACACTAATTTGGTAATGATGACATATTCAAATCCGTTAGCAAAAAAGTTATATTTGGTATATATATATATACATTTTGGTCTAATATTTTCCTTAATTTTTCTCATTCACAGGAAGGAAAAAAAAAACATTAAATGTCACAGATTCTCAATAATATCTCAGACCATCCTTTCCATGACATCACCACCTTCTCTTAGCTGTCTCCCTATTTAAAATCTCTCCATGCAACTCTAACATCTCATTAAAATAAATAAAAACAAAACCCACAAGAACAGAAAAAACTTGGTTGGGTTTTGTTTGGTTAATCCAGAATATGGAGAGAGGCTCTTCTTCCTCCTCCAACTCATCCATGGCTTCTTCTTCTTCTTCGTCTTCCTCCGATCAAACCTCACCATTCGTGACATCATCCATGCTTTCCCGGACAACGTCATCGTCTTCTTCCTCCGCCGACGTCGGAGACTACATCGGGACAGAATCTTGCTTTGACGTCCTCTCCGCCGACGAAGAAAACGACATCGTCTCTGTCTCCTCCTCCTCCGTAAGCCGGTTTCGTTACGGAGGAAGGAGGAGAGAGGAGAGAGAAGCTAGGGCTGCGGCGGCGCGTGAGTTTCCTCCGCCGATACCATTGCTAGCTCAGACGGGGAATCTCCATCCACACATGCCTTGGGTTCTGAAGCGTGTGGTGACTAGTGACGGTAGGCTTATACTTAGAGAAGAGAAAGTTCGTCATCATGAGTATTTTCGTGCTCATAGATCCAATGGTCGTCTCACTCTCCACCTTGTTCCTTTAGACGACGACGTTTTCGAACTTCCTCAAGTACGATCCAATCACCAAATC